CACACACACACACACACACACACACACACACACACACACAGTCCTTTAAAGGAAGGGTATAATGAACTGGAGAGGGGTAAAAATTCTAGACAGTTGTCCCAAAAGCTATGCAAATTGCCTCAACCCCACAAGTCACCCTTTCTCTTCCAGTCACTCCACAGAATGGAAATAAAATGGAAGCAATTCAGATGCTCTCTTTGCCTCAGTGGAATCATGCATGGGATGCCCAGGGCAAACATGTCTTTCTCCAAGGTAATCAAATGTGTTCAGAGTTCTTTCAGGTTAGAGGCAAGCTTTCCCTCCTGTCAGGCATGACACTTTCTGGGCAAGTAGTCAACTTACGTGCAAAGTTCTTGGCATCTCCTGTGTTCAAGAAGAACTTTTGTGGCTCCTCACTTGTCCTGCCGGCAAACTTATCAGCATAGTGACCCATCTGTGGGCAGCCTTGATCTGGGCAGGGGAAGCACTTGTCCTAGTGAAAAGAGCAGGGGCCATGGAGCAGAGAGCTGGAGAAAGCTGGTGCTCCATGTCCCTGAAGCCCAGCTCCTTCATTTGCAAAGGGAAGAGAGATGGAGCCCATCGGCTCCAAGTTCCCTTCATCTCAGCAGAACTTCTAGCCATGATGCACAGCGTGTTAGAGTGACCAGGGACCTTTAAACAGCACTGCCGTCTTGGGCCCAGCTTCCATCAGTTGTATTTCCCAGGCTTCTAGTGGTGTCAACTCTCCTTATTGATTGTAGAGCTTACCAATAGTTATCTCTCAAGATCATGTCAATGTGGATCTATTCTCTGATCTTCTAGAATTTTCCTCTCCTACATTGCTCATTTGTGCTGTGTGTGTGTGTGTGTGTGTGTGTGTGTGTGTGTGTGTGTGTGTATGTGTGTGTGTGTGTGGTTTTTTCTACTTCCTGTTAAGAGTTGTTGGGGCTTTTCTCCGCCTCCACAGGGTATGCATTCTAAGGGACAAGGTAGAGCATGCATCGAGAAGGAATGGCAGATCCCTACATAGGGATCTCAGTGTGGGGTGCCCATCACTCATGGCAGATTAATAGCTTACAGACTCAAAATCTTTGTAGGAAGTGCAAGGGTATGCAGCGAACCCATCGGGGTTGAGAATGCTTTCTGAGTAGTACTTGTAGCTTCTCAGGTGGTTACAAGCCACAAAGTCCCGGGTTCCTGAGGAAACAGGCAGGAGGTCAGTTCAGGCAACTGGAGGCAAGCTGTGACCACATCTATTCCTCTCTTTCTCCAGTGCAATAGGTCCAGGGTGGAACTGTATCACAGAACTTAAGTTCCTGATTCATTCACAACAATGACAGTAAACAAACAGGTTTCAGGTGTTGGGAATAATGTTCCTGTTACTTCACTGGTGTTGTCCACTAAACCCCCCCTTTCCTAGGAGGCAGGTGTCATAGTATCCCTTTGGTAAAAGTATCCACAGATGGATTCACAAGATTACAGCTATCAAGGGGATAGCTAGCTGTTACCAGCTAACTGTTGTAATGAAACAGTTCATCTGGTGCTCAACACTGTCCCTCTAGCCTCTGTGTCCAGGAATAAGGCTGGAAATCCTCAAAGACACAGCTAGATGTGCCATAATCTTCCACACGTGGCACCATAAGCACATTGTCACAATGCTCTTGTGCAAACGAAGGTAAAAGCAGATTTCAGTGGCTGCAGCTGAGTCCTCCTTACCCCTCTCACTCCCTCAGTGTTCTTTCACGTCCTTACTCAAACCACTCGACAAGTATCCCAGCATACCATCTAGACCTGGCCTGAACTTTCTTGTCCATTGCTGACGGAGCTGTCAAAGTCCAAACAAGTATCCTTAATGTTTGCATCAAGAACATCTAAGACATTCTGACTGAATTGAGTAAAAATGATACTCATAAGATTCCTTCATACCACTAAGGGTTTTTAACTCCAATGCTGCCAATTGACTAGTGTGGCTGCTGAATTCTTGATCTCATTAGGCAGTATTGGAGCTGTTAACTGAAGGATGCCCTTTATTCCCAGGTATGCTCACCAGTGACAAGTGGACAGTCCCCATTCTAGCCTTCCTCATGTGATTGCTCCTCATTCCTGCTCAGTATGAGTGAGCAGTGACTTGCATTGTGAAGACAGCTCTTCCATGCATGCCCATGGGGTACATTTACTCAGTTACTGCACTGAAGCTGCCTAGGACTGAATCGATTCTCAGGGAACGTCTGCAGGAAAGTTCTCTTGGGACATTCGTGATGTCGCTCTTGTCACTTCCCCTCTCTATGCGGTGACAGTTGGGATTAGAGCGTTAAGCCAAAGCTCTGTGGTTCCTTGATGTTTATGCAGTGCATCCATGACAATGTTTTAAGGAAATACAGAATCAGGAGATCTGAGATCTGTGAGATTTGCAGTTATTTTTTTTCAGAAATAATATGCAGAAAGGAAAATCATGTATTTTTAAAAAGAAATACATTTCTATTACTAAGATTTGTTATGGGGCTGGGGAAATGGCTCAGTCAGTGAAATGCTTGCCTTGAAAGGAGGAGGACTTGAGTTTGATGCCAAGAACCCAAGTGAAAAAAAGCTAAATATAGCAGTGCATGCTTTTCATAGTGCTGGGCATGGTGGAATTGCTTCTTTAGGCCAATGGAGGACCTTATAACATTTAAAAACATGCACAGTATCTAAGGAATGACACACAAAGTTTTCCACTAGTATCTGCACACACATACAATCCCTACACACACACACACACACACACACACACACACACACACACACACACACACGGTAGTTGGTGGGGAGATCTGTCATGGCAAGTGCTGAGTACCCCAAAGAAGCACCATCCTCCCAGACTGGCCCTCATGGCCTTACCTGACCAGATGCCATCTAGGTCCACAATCTGTGACAGGGCATTCTTCTTGCACCCGGGCATGTTCTGTCCTCCGTTGGGGAAGAAGTCAAAATGACCCATCATTTGATTTGTTCCAAAACCTAAAATATTTGTAACAACAATGAGACAGGGTTTGGGCTGTATAGTACTTCAGGGTTAAAATACTGTCACTCCTGTCCACAGCTAGAGACTGGAGCACCATGGGGCTCACCCAAAAAGGGGATCAAGGGAGCTGCATCTGTGTGAATCACGTCCACAAAGTTGGCATCCGAGGGGTCAAGGCGGACCTCTGCAGGAGTGCCTTCAAAATTTGCTTCTACGGGATCCAGTCCTAAAAGAGATGGCCAACAATGTAAGGACCAAAATGTGTGGTTGTACAGGCTGGGCAACATGCAACTGAACAGGCACCACACTTGTAGTAGGGCGTGGAGTCCCAGTGCTACTCTTTAAAGGGGGCTTGGCGACAGGAGAGGGGAGCACATGAGAAAAGAACTCAGATTTTGTTTGAGCACGGATTTCTTCCTACATCAGATTCTTCCATGTGTCTTTCGTATTTCATATTTCATTTTCTTCCCTTTTATCTTAGTGAAGGAAGCAGGGTCCTGGGCCTGTAAGTGCTGCTGGTTCTACTAAAGCTACCTTTGGGGCAAGTTGTGTCTGACTTTGAGAAAGTCATTCAAGATTTTTGTATCTCAGTTTCCCTATTGTATAAATTGAAGGTAATAACTTCATCAATTTATATAGCTGTTGATTAAGTAATTTAATATTCAATGTGAGGCCCAGGGGCTGGCATGGAATCATATAACCTGTGCATTCTCGGGGCAACCTATTTGCTTCCCTGAAGGAGCTTCTTCAGTTCTGAGGATTAGATGAGGAACACAAAGTAATTTTTGCAGAACTTAGGGTAATCAGGCACTTAGCTGATGCGTCCCTTAATAATGGCATTAATATCCTTGTGTAGATATATTCTATTGCCCTTGTTATAGTGGAAAGACTGCTGTGTTTGAAGGCCGTTTTGATGGTGCCAGTTAAAGGGTGTTTTTGTTAGTTACAGTAGCTGGGATCCTTTTACCAGCAGGAAGAGTGGGAAGCAATTTCCAGGTTCCACTCCACCCTGCCTTCAAAGAGAAGGAAGTAATGGGTAGCGCAGTCCCTGTTCAAGCATACTTGCTTCTGTCCAGGCTAGCTGGTATTCAAAGTTGCTGCATGACGCACATCAAGGAAAAATTGCACCCAGAGAGGAGCAACTAGGGCCATAGCAGAAGCATCACAGAGACACACAGCGACATTTTCCTTGCCAACAGCGATGGCCCACGTGTTGCTTAGAAGTGTCCTGAAATCTCCTGTCTGGGCTGTACCCAGCCCTGCCACAGCCAAGGGATTCAGACAGCTCTAAGCTGGGCTACAGGCTTATGACCATTCTGGGGTTGTGAGAATATGACCTGGGGCCTTACCAGTAATCCTGCCTAGGCCTGGAGTCCGACTTCCTGCTTCCCCCGCCACATGAGCTCCTAGGCTGTGGCCAATGAGGTGGACTTTGGAAGGCGAGTAGCTGTAGTTTGTCTAGAGAGGAAAGATCACATTTGCGGGACTTGCTTGTGCTCTGGTTAGTGTGACTCTCCTGTTGGGAATTTTCCTTGCTTCCTGGGGCCTCAGGATTGAGGCCCAGGTCCTGACAGGGACCTCAGGACTTTCCTGACTCATGGTGGCCCTTCCTAGACTCTTCTCTAGCTAAAACTCACTGTGACCTCAAATAGTGTCCTCCTCCTTCACCCCTGGGCCTGTTTTACACCACATTATAGCCCATCTTCCTATCTTCTTGCTCAGGTACCATCTAAAGATCCTGTCTTCAGCAATCCAGATGCCTCTTCCAGGGGAGACTTCCCAAATGCCACCCCACCCCCACATACAAGATGGATTAACTATTCCCATGTGCCTTCATAAACCTGCATACCCACTCCCTCATCTCCAGAACCCTCTAACACAGTGGTTCCCAAATTTCCTAATGCTGTGACCTTTTAATACAGTTTCTCATGCTGTGGTGACCCCATCTATAAAATTGTTTTTGTTGCTACTTCATAACTATAATTTTTCTACTGTTACTAATCATAATGTAAAATATCTGTGTTTTCTGATGGTCTTAAGTGACCCCTGTGAAAAGGTCATTTGTCTGCCAAAGGGGACATGACCCACAGGTGGAGAACCACTGCTCTAACAGATCATACTCTGTGGTCACTGCAAGTCTTCCCTATATGTAGGGAAGGCCTAGGACTTCATTGATCACCTTTGTCTTTTTGCACGCTATTGACCATCTTCTCTAGAAACATGAGATCACATGCATTCACACGCAGTGTTTTGTGATATCCCCCAACAGGCCTATCATTATTGGGTCTACACTGTTTTTTGTGCAACCCCATGGGCTCTGATTTCTGTAGGGGTGCAGAAGCAGTTGGCTCTTTGTAGACCTATTATCTATAGAGCATGAAATAGCGGGACTTTGATCTTGTACAGAAAGTAACTATAAAGAATTCCTGAATTAACACACAGAATGAGAGACTTAAAGCATTTGCTAAGATCAAAGGCCAGGATAGGAAGAAACAACCGGAATGATTACAGCGGGAAAATTTCCCAGCACCAACGGGACCCGCTGTCAATTGCACGTCCTGCCCCCTGGCTCTGTCTGGCTTCCCTCGACAATACCAGGCTTTCTCTGCACAAATCCCCACTTGTGTAGTGGGCAGCTCCTGGAGCCAGATGACCTGAGCCCCAGAGACAACCCTTCTACTCACCTGCTCTGTTTTGACAAGCTAGTTAGCCTCCCTGTGCCTCAGTTTCCTCAATTGTAAATCAGAGGATAATAAAATCCCATCACTAAGTGCTAGCCACTAAGTTTCTCTTTTACTCATGTGTCACTAAGGTGGTCTTCATTCTTTGTCTCCTCTTTGTAACTCCTAAATTCACCTTTGGACCCCACCTCCCTCTGGCCCACTCACCGCAAGGACGTCAAGCATGTGAGCCAGCTGGGCACCCACTACTCGCACATTGTTGGCAGCCTGTGTATAGGTGGTCTGAGAGCCTCTCTTCCAGTCCACACAGATGCAGTTCACCTTCTCCACTTGGAACATGTTCTAGGGTTGGGGAGACACGGTGTTGCCATAGGGCATGGGGAAACCCATCTAGGCAGGGATCAGAAGTTACTCATCCCTTCTTCTAGCTGGAGTGCTGAGACGGACTGGATCCTGTCCAGGGGATCCTGCAGTCCATAGGGTAAATACTAGCGGCAGAGAAGACCCTCATCCTAAAGATGAAGGAAAAGCCAGTCCCTTTGATTTCTTCAACCACATCTGACAAAGTGGATCAGTTACACCATTAAAGGAATCCGGTCTGACAAGAAAAACCTCAGCACAGTGTCTGGTGACTACTGTCTATGTGACCTTTTGGTTCTGCTTGTGAGAGGTCCTTTAGGTGACATGCCAGATCTCTGGGCATTTCTTGAGCTATAAAGAGGGAGAGGGGTGTCATTTTCCAGTCAAGATGGCACAGAATTCCTTGGAGGGCACACACACGGCAGGTATATGAAAAGCAGAAGAGCACTGATGCGAGGAGTGAGGAAGGAGAAATGTCCCCAGGGCTCAGCCAGGCTGTGCATGGGTCAGCCTGACACCCACAGCTGAGGTCTTCTGACCTTTTCATGACAGCACTAACTAACACACATGGCAGCTCCAGCTTCTGACCATTGTGTTCCTTGGGACTTCTATTGTCAAAGCAACCCTGAGAAATCCCTGCAGATCCTAGAAATTTTGGTGCTAAAAACTGAATTAACAAGATGCTCATTAAGGCTGGGTGGTGGTGGTGCACACCTTTAATCCCAGGACTCGAAAGGCAGAGGCAGGTGGATCTCTGTGAGTTGGAGGCCAGCCTGGTCTACAGAGCTAATTCTAGGACAGCCAGGGCTACACAGAGAAACCCTGACTTGAAAGAAAAAAAAGTGCTTATTAAGGAAGGGACAGGAAGGTGCAGAGTGACAAATTGTAATTTTTCTTGACAATATTTTTACTTGGTATTACTATATATATTATATATATAATATATATAATACATATTATATATAATGTGTGCGTGTGTACACACGTGTGCATGTGTGAGCGTGCGTGTGCACGCACGCACGTGTGTGTGTGTGTGTGTGTGTGTGTGT